AGGTAGTCATGAGCCGATACAACCGATCTACGTTCCTTTTAGAAAGGGAGCCATTTTACTAGATTACATTCACACGTGTGGTAAAAATGCGTGACTCTAAACTTAAAGCACGCTTGATTCCGGTAGTGTTGTTTTTTAGACAACTAAACTGAGAAAAGTCATCGAGAAAAACGATTCCATTCTGAAAAATTGCAAAGCTATGAAAACGCGATGAGGGAAAGACATTCGTCGACCAACTCATGCTGCACGACAATCATGGGCGATTTTTGTGCCAAAGATGGATACAGGTGACACCTGTAAGCAATTAGTCTATCAGCACATTCATGCGAATGATATTAAGGCCAATCACGTCTCATATAGACGGGAAAGATTTTAAAAAAGAGGCCGTTGGCCATTTTTTATCAGAGTGAAAGACGGGAACCCTCGTGTAGAAACGTTACATACTGTTCCAAAACTCAGAGCAAATGAGGTCATGTCTAACTATTTGCCAGCATTGAGAAGTATAGGACGATTCTTGTCTCCAAAAGTTACTGTTTTAAAAACTTCTCCTAACATACCTGGCAAGTAGACTATCCATCACACCTGAAGGTGCTTGCAAACCAGGGTAACTGTATCACACACAAAATTCCATAGTGCCCCCCGGATAACTCGCCGGGTTCTATCAATCATTAGGCTCTTCCAACAGTCTGTCAGTGATACAGTTACCGTAACTAATACTAGGCTGACATAACTAGACATTAAACCACCCCTAAATGTGACGAGGTTAAGTCTCATGGACGAAGTTTGAATCTGCGAGGTAGAAGGCTTGACAATGGACGAACTGGTAGATTTGGGAAATAATGCATCAAACAAAGATGATAAGGAAACACTACTGTGCAATTTCCTTGTACTAGCCTCTTTAGGGAGCCATCCGGCTTTGGAAATTTGAGGAGCGATCTAAGCGCTGCGGGAACCATGAAAGGACAGACGGCTCAGAGTTTGATATGATGGGCGAGTACGCTGCCTAAAAATGACAAGACTAGATAACACACAGGATTGATACTGTCATGATTGCAAGAAAGAGACATGGAAAGTGCATCGTCAGCAATATAAAATTAGTATACTGCGTCATAAGTGAGATTAGGAACCTGATGGAATAAATAAAAAAGTGTCACAAGTAACCTTGTGAATTAGTCACTTTTATCCAACAGCTTGACCTGTTGTTTCAGAAGTAACAGTTGTGTTCTGCTGGTAATATTTTCGTTACGCCACGCTAACTTTCCACTGCAAAATTTTCGGGCCTGCAGCAAGCCAAAAGGGGAGAAATATTGGGTGATGCAATACATCTACCTATCTGATTCAACGACTTAATCAGGTGAATGTAAGTGAGGTTCTCAGACAATGATGCTTTGGCATGAGGAGTCATTTCAACTGATTTTACGTAGCTATGGAATTTGTGGAGCTTGTATTCACACCACTCTCCCGTCAACAATCCCATCCTTAGCATGATATCCCCAGGAATCCAACAGCAAAAGGCGGAAGCCCTGAGCTCGAATTCAACTCCCATTAGAACTCATTGGCAATAAGTATCTTAAAGTGTACCCTGATGTGAACGTTCCTGACTAGAAGTGCAGTAAATTCATATGAAAGAAAATGAAACGAAACAAAGCAGGTGAACTGGGCGTCCGTTTGTTCGCTGAGCGGGACGTTTGTATTGACCAACTTTCCTATGAAATATTTATGCCAAACAACCGGGTCTGATAAGATGAAGAGAAGTCCTCTCCGCAATTTGTAGGTTCTTCCACAAGGCCGAATAATTTGAACGATGCCAGAAAAGGTGTTTTGCATAGGAAGTCACTTTTGATCCAAACAAACTTTTGGTTGATATTTCATCTTGACAGTGAGGCCGGTCTATGCTGAACGTAGAAAATCACTATACGGCCGTTTTATCTCTATTTGGGATCAGTAGTAGTGCATACGTCACGGCACTCAAAGGATCTCGAACCCGTGAACTGCCGACCAGAGGTTAAACATTCAACCACTCGGTCGTGAACTGTAGAACAATAGTATGACTAACTTTATTTGCTCTACGAGTGGATAGGGAGAAGAATACTTTCACAAGGTGAGTGAGGAGTCATCATTTGAGAAACCAGTCAAAACTTGACGAGGTTATGTGAATTACGTGATTGAAGAACGAGTGGTGCTATATCCTAAGTGTGAGCTAATCGCGCTAATGAGGAAAACTTTGCTAAATACAGCAATGAAACATCAGCTACTACTGCATCTTCTGTAGACGTCACACTCAGAGAAACACGTGAAGGCCAGCTGGCAGTAATGCTTACCCAACCTGGACCGTGCGTTTTGGAATTCCTAATCCTGGGCATACTATTAATCAATCCAAGGAATTTTTATGCCTTCTGATCCCCAAATAGGTGATGTAGTAGAGCGGCGTTTTCCTTGGGAAATAAAAACGAAGGGTCTAACAAAAAGACGTCGCATTTCGCGTGCCCACACATATGATTCAGCATACTCTGCAGCTGAGGTAGCCACAGGAATGAACTCAGGGTAATTTTCATTGAATGTTGCCATTATTTGCCATTATCTCGCCGGAAGATCTCCCTCCCCTTGTTGTCGTTGCCCACGCTCAGTTGTATTCCAGGTTATCCCTCTGATGATCTTGAACATATCACAAAGCTACTGAGGTCTCGGGTGAATACGACTTTGATTTTGAATAAAATGTACCCTCTCCCGAGTCGGAGCTTGGGCTGGTTGATGCGTATGGGAAGCCATGTATGAAGAATCGATATTACTTTTGGCTACTGCTTGTTTACCTAGTAGTAGCTCGGGAGCAACCAGTTGCAGTAAATGTGGAACTGCCAAAGTCCGCAGACGGAAACTTGTAGCTGACGAAGTCGCCGTAGGCTATATCACCATACATCAATTCTGTATTCGAGGTTCAGAGGCGCAGTGGCTGTTTATCGACAATACCAAGAATGCGTGGCAGAACAGCTAGGTAGGTAGGCTTCAGAGTTGCGATAAAAATAGGGGAACGATGTCTAAGAAGCGGGCACGAGGTGGTGTTTTTGAACAGTGAAACTTTTCGAATCATTTTTGTGGTGAAAGGAGGATATGCCTATGGCTGGGATCTAGGAAAGATTGCTCGTTAAATAAGGGCCCGATGGATTAATATTTATTATTTAGGAAGGATGGGGGCTCCATAATTGAGATATGTTTGCTTATCAGTCTTGATAGATGCAGTAAGTAATACGATTCAGTAGGTGCTTTTTTCCTGCTCAGTATAATCTCTTTTATACGTGTCAATATTGGTAGCATCATTGTACAAAGTTTGTCTTACTCAAGGACAATCACAAGCTTTTCTTTTCAAGCTCGACGGGATCTTGCGCTTTTGCTGAGTGACTGTTGTTGTGGTTGGTGCTTGAACAATACTGGCTACCACTAGCTTCCAACTTGAACAAAAATGTTAGATGAAAACACTGGACCTACCCGTTCACATCAGTGGACTAATATTGCGCCTATTGGATGTTGAGATTTAAGGAAAGTAGTACCTTTTTCTTTGTGGTGCAGTTGTCTGTTGGAATACAGACTTGTGGGATTTCCTGTTGCGAATTGTAAGTCGGGATCTCCTGGACTGATTTTCCTGTGAATTACATCTGACGGAAATTAGTAGTTAGTTTTGTTCTTTAGGAGATCCTTAAGAAAGTTAGCCATCACATAACTGATGAGCCCGCCCGTGATGAACATGATTGATGCTCTATTCATTTCTCCATTCAGTATTCTCTTATTTTAATATTCCAAGTGCTATAGACATATGCCAATCTAAATACATGCGTACTATCTGTTACACTGTGTTGAATTCTGGATTTTTAGATCGTCTGGTTATACCAATGTACCTGCTGAACTTGATTACCATACCGCCTTAATTCGTTTTGTTCCATTTCCCCGGTAGTTCAGAATTCCCAACGCCCTTACACGCACTTGACCCAGTGTCTCACTAGTTCAGCCATGTTTAATGAGGACGAACTCAAAGCTGACTTGAATCAAAATGATGTTCACATCGAACTCCCAACTTTTGACGTTAACAACCCTAGAGTTTGGTTCATTCACCTGGAATTTTTACTTCCAATCGCTCCTTATTACCTCGCAACAGGCCACGTTTTTCGAATGTGGTTTCTCAGTTTTCCACTGAAGTTGCCGCTGAGGTTGTTGACGCGATCGGTCCCATATCTGTATTGAATCCCCACAACACTCTCTAACGGACAGCAACCTCTAATTGAACGAACCCCTAGAAGCTGCTTTCAGGAGTCAACCTGGGTGATCACAAGCCAGCACAACTTCTGCGGTACATGCAAAATATTGGTTTTCGGCAAGTCGTTTGACGATTTGATTTTAAAGCAAACCTGAGTGTACTGTCCGCCTTTGAATACTCGTCAGACATTAGCAACCCAGTCTAATGCCCTGCTGTCATCACTCGCGAAGATAGCAGACAAGAGTCAGGAATACTTCTCAGGCCGCTTGATTTCCTTAACCTCAGTCAGTCCAGCGATAATCCAGTCCTGGCTTGACTCGATCGGATGCAAACAGGGCGGTTACCACATTGAAAGAGGCCCCCACATCCCACAAGTTCCGAGCAGATTACCGTGGACCGCGATCCTCGTCACAGCATAATAGCGGCCTTTGTTTTCATCAAACCAAAAACAACGCCTTACTTTGAAGACGTCTGTGTGCCCACGCGTCCAGAGAAACTAACCGCCTAGTCACTACTGGCGACAGCTGCCTCTGGTCAGCCACTCAGTCGCCTGTACTACATTACTCATCGGACCACCGTCGACGCCGGTGCGCAACCTGGCGTTATTCCTACTGTCACAGGCAGTCAGCGGCACTCGCATCGCTACTTATGGTCAGAAGTCACTGATGCGTAACCTTGGCCTTTGCCATCCATTCCCTCAGATTTTTACTGTCGCCAACGCACAAGTTCCCATCACCAGCGCTGATTTTCTCACCAACTCTTGTTTGGCCGCCAAAATTAAAAGACAATCTTCTGGACTCTTTGCTGTCGTTTTTCGTCTCATCGGTTCAGCTCAATGCCTCGTCATACCCACTGGATTTACTCAAAAAGCATTCCAGTTTGCTAAAGCCGGACATGTCACGCTCAGTCGAACATCACATAACGGCCACTCCCAATCGACGGCTACACTCCGGGAAGCTTCATATCGCCAAATAAGAGTTTGACCAGTAGCCGCAACTCTGGATAATCCCCATTTCAAATTTATGTCCGGCTTCTCCATTGCATTTGGTCCAAAAAATCCACTGGTGAATAACGATCCTGCGGCGACAAGCGACCACTCAACTGTCGTACCGTTCCTGACAGTTACGCAATATTGCACACTGATTATTTTGAAATGGAATTGCAAGGCAAGGCGTTTCACGACCTGGCTCATCACTATTCCGATCCATGATACATTAGTTGGAAATGCTGTTAGGATTTATCGACAAGTGGATTGCTACATTCGGTTTATCCGCTACCATTGCCACTGACCGGGGTCCACAATTCACATCAACGCTTTTTCAGGATCTCAAATGGTTACTTGGTATGGATCACTTCCGAACCGCCGCGCGCCATCCGGCTGCCAGCAGCATGTTTGAGCGCGTCCATCGACAACTCAAGGCATCACTGACCGCCTTCTGTAGCACGCACTGGTCAGAACGTCTCCTGCTTACTATTCTCATTATACGCAGTCCTATTAAAGAAGATTATGATTGCACAGCTCCTAAAGTCGTTTTCGGCACTACCTTATGCCTCCCACATGAAATGATTATCGATTTTTTAATCACCATTGAAACAGTTCTCAATTCCTACGCTTCTCGGCCTCACCCATACATGCGTGAAATCCGTCACCCAGCAACTCGACAGACCCCCAAGCCCATTGAAGTACATCGCGATCTTGCCACCTGTGATTTCAGTCCATCTCAATGGGCACTAATCGATAAAGAGTCCCATCCTCTAACAGGAAAATAAATACAGAGATGAGGCCAAAGGGGGACAATATCTGACCTTTTATGCTCATTTTAGTAAACAGTCCGCAAAAGATCATGTGTAATGTAGGCTGGAAAACTTCTTTTTAGAGTTAACAGCGTCTAAGATACTAATCAGCCGCTGACTGTGGTTGTGGTAATAGGATCCACATGTTAATAAGTTTAGACGTCAGGAAACACATAATTTATACTCACCAAGCATGACAGTTTATGGGGTCTGCGGTCTGGTTGGAATCACTGCTCGTAAAAAAAGATGCAAATCGTTTCTTGTTGCCGTTGGTATCCACTATACTCCCTAAGAACGCACTGATGATATTACCTCGATTTGTTTACTATCAAATTTCCTAACTCGGCGAATAAACCAATTACCATTACCGTTAATATATTTTTGAATGATCGATATATTCGTTTATTTTGTTTTAAAAGTGTCCTTCCGGTCTGTTGGCTGGCTTCCTTACCGTAGTTGTTTTCAGGACTATCAAAACTTCCAAATGCCCATATCTCATCGGACTACCTAAATAAACGATAACTTTTTGGTCTATGAATTGTGAAGTTTGGCGTGTCACTGCAGCACTACTCGTTTCGGGTCATGACTCAGGAAGGATTCGTAACTCCACACTTCAGTGTAAATTGCTATACCAAGAGAATTGCTGGTACGGCGCTTTCAGCACATACTATACGCAACAGCATTACTGCGGGAAGATGCATCAGTTAAGGCACTGGATGAAACATGCAACCGGTATGCCCTATGAGAGAATCCAGACAACTAAAAGCTGGACAGCTGAACTTCTCAGGTAGATATTGTGACTCGGTAGTTGTTTCTTCATAACTGTGGAGCAAACCTAACTACTCTTCTATCAGTTTCACCACTGAAACCATTAATAATCCACTGATTCTTGAATAACTTGGAGTTTCATGGTGGTAATTTGCCGGAGCTGCGCAAGGTATAGCCGTACAAGGGGTTCATATTTTCTAACAAGAACATATGTCACGGTCTAATGCCCATGTTGTCCCTTCAAGCCTAGTTGCTTGTTTCTTCATTCAAGGCCAATCTTCCATTTGGCAAGCTGGCTAACCCAACACGACGAGTCAGCTATGATCAGCTTTGAGCTGGGCGTTGTTATGGCCTTAGAATCAATGCTTGTGAGTAAATCCGAACCTTCTTAAAATTGCTGATCAAGCTTTTGTCACTGGTTTTGGTAGTTTTAGAATTTGTGTGTTTACTTTTTTTCTCAGAGTTCCAAGGGCTTTAAAAGTGACTATGATCGATCTTATATTAGAGGCCCAAGTTGGCTTCATGAGTGGGTTTTTCGTTCTTAAGAATAAATTGGATAAGAACTAGTCGAATATGCTTGGTGTTTATTGGATTCCACTTATGAATGATTCCAAATGAATAAATATGCCAGATTTTCTTCTTTGATGAACACATTGGCCCCCTGGAACTCAAACTTCCGTACTGTAGAAGTTATTCCCGTAGAAATAAAACGAGAAGTTAAGCCAGCACACTGACACTGCATTTGTCGGGTCGACAGTTACATATGTTCAAAAACATGTGAGTGTTTGATTTCCACAGCACAGACGCTTCTTATAAGTCACGATAAAATATTTTGCTTGTGATCATAAATCTTCCACGCTGAGTCTACTAACTACAAATCAAACGGTTGGTTACCAGGTGACATTCATGCAATTCGATCTATCTGCTTGAGATCTTAATTGCTTTGCAATATCATTTCCTTGCATTTATTTGACTCATTGGACGCCTTTAAGTTGACAGTTCCGTTCCTCCATTATGAATGACCCGTCTTTTGTCACTTTGCGGTCTGATTTTTTTCCATCGATTTGTTGGTTGGACAACTATCTACTCTTAGTAATTTACTTTCTTTGGTCCTGTTGGACCGCTAGTTAATGCTTCTTACGCTGTTTGGAATAAGGCAATTGTGTAGTTCCTTCATTCGTGGCGGCGGATAAATTGGGTCGTTGATATTGCGCTTCTCGATCGGTATCTCTTCTGAGTACTACACCTCGATAAACTACCTCTCCCGTGTGCCTCTTGCGTGGCATTTCAATGCCTGTCTTGGTGAACTGAAACAGGTATAATTGGGCCGGGTCTTCTAGCGACAATCTTGCGTTTCACGGATTCACGAATTGATGTACAGGATCGAGGCTTTTGCACAAGTTTATCGGTTGGTTTTGCTCTTGTCGTTCAGCGGCCGCCGTTCCCCTGAAACGCACAGTTGAAAAAAGGGTGCAGCACTGGTCTTTATGTTCTCAGCGCGGGTCAGTATGCTTGCCAGCGCGAGGATTAGCATGAATAAATGTTTAGTAGTGTCTTGAACTGGGTTCTAGAAAGGGCGTGGACATCCGTCGGAGTAAGATCACTCCACGCAGCTACTACCTGTTATGTTCTCTGCTGATCAGTCCATCAACCTTGTCAGTTACACACGGAATTGAGAAGACAAAATGCATTGAGGAAATTGTACTGTAGCAACTGAACAGCCAATATCGAGATTTGAAGAATCAAGAATGGAATGTAACAAAACAGTCCAATGAAAGACTGAAATAGAGAGAGAGAAATGTTGAACAATATGTTCGCTAGGAGTGCCTCCTTACACCTCCCCTTTGAAGTCATTGTTCGTACGACTGGAGTTGTGGGTTCAGTTGCATTCGTATGACAGGCTTTCTGATCCAGTCGGTCCATCTTCTGGGTGTACAACTTTTGGAACTTGCTGGTTCATTCATCGGCTCTGGAGATTTTAACGTTTGAGCTAACTCAAAGGTGTCGAGAAGAGTCTCCAGTGGAAGAACAGGGTCAAGTGTAGCTGCCGCTGGAAGATAGGAAGCGCATAGCTGATTGGCATGACGGACCCAGATAGAGGAGCCTACAATTACCTCATAGACAACTCTTCCGGCACGGCGCACAATTATGCCTTGTGTCCACTTTTCCGCGCCACCACGATAGTCTTTCGCTAGCACAAATTGGCCGGGTATAAATATGTTCTTTGCAGCACCGTGATGTCGGTTGAACTGAACTTCCATATTTATGTTTCTACCGGCTGGTGAATGTGGTGTTGGACGGATGACGTCAACGGGTAAGCGGACCTTCCGGTTCATAAGTACCTCCGCCGGGGACTTACCATGTGGAGCGTTAACATTTGGTGCCGCCCTGTAACTCAACAGAAACGTCTCGATGATTTCCGGTGTGGTCCCCTCCCCTTTGAGTTTTTGGAGTGCGCTACTACCCGAAATGAAAAAACATTTTGCTTGATGAATGTGTGCGCTGTGAGCTTGAGAATCTTCTTACTGTGTCCACGCCGTGTGTTTGCGGCGTCAAAGGCGAAATACCTGTTGGCCATGCTTTGTCCAAACAGAGTATAAGTAAGAATTAGGTCCCTCGGAGTTGACGATACTCCAGGAGAAAGAGGTCAATCATCGCGAGACGCGTTTCATGGTCCACGAACTTGAGGCCGGCAACCATTTCCGTAGCGACTCGCTAGACGCGCTCAATGAGGGTGGTGTCTTTCGTGCGTCCTGAGTGGAAGACTTTGTTGACGTATTCCAGGAGCGGTCTGACGTAGGCCTCATAGAGTATTTGGACGTCCATGCGAGTAATATGGGAGAAGGTGCGTTCACGACATTCGTAGACCAGGTTTTCATCTCATTTGCATTTAGCGTTCCCTTTGGTTTTGGGAGGATTGTACTCATCCTGCACACAGGCTTGAGAGCACATGCTGTTTCGCGTTTTCATGAATATCTTCAGGTCATCCCAGCGACGCGTTTTATACACAGAAACGTAATCGTTCTCCTTTCCGGATGTTTTGACCAAGTAGCTTGGCAGCGACTTTGTGATGCTCTCAATGTGAAGGCTCTTGAGGTCCATTTTTGAGTTTTTGAACGAGCAATCATTCTTCCCTGGACTTCGCCTCTATTATGTGGCAACACTTCTTGATCCACTTAGTAGGGTCAAAGCTCACCTCTTTTTGTGACCGTTTAAATGATTGTTGGAGCCCTTGGGGATCCGATTAGTGTCTGCCTTTTT